TGCAAGGGAAAAGATGGATTTCATTCCTCAAACAAACTGCCTCTTCTGGGACATTTGGCGGTTTCCCCAAAGAAAGCTCCTGTCATCTGAGCCGTCAATTCAAAAGTTCATTCAACCTCTGGATTGACTGCTACCACCTGAGTTACACTAATGAGCAGCTATGACTTGCAAAACGTAGTGACTCTGCCATGTCCAGAGCTCCCATGCACCCAGGAGGCTCAGCTCACCCTCCCACTAGAGAGGTACTCATCACTGCACTTGCACAGTGGTCAGCGCAAGCAGGGCTTTGGCAGCTGAGTGGGCCCTGTAGACACCTCTCACCTTCCCTGCACAGTTAACTGGACCTCCTCGAAGCATATGAAGTCTGGACAACAAGACAGGGTTGTGTTCAAAAGGACAAGTGCATCAGAGGACAGTACTAGCAACTAGACCAGAAACCTGATGTGCTGGAGCGCGAAACTCCCTTGGACTTCCTATATACATGTGATTGGTTGATGTAAAACATACATGTGATTGAAGACTGCATTGGCTGGTAACCTCAATAACACAAGAGAGCTTAAATTACTGGGAGCAAATCAGGGGTGGACTCCCACTTACGTGAATGCTCTGCAGCCCAAAGGCTTGGGGGTAGCAGCGGCTGCCCTCATTCTGGGGTCCGGCCAGCCAAGCCAGGAGTCAATAACAGTTTGTATCCATGGAATACAGAGGACACACTTGCACATTCCTTTTCTTTCCCTGGAGGGTTTGGCTGCAGTGGTTCCCTTCACCCACAGCTCTCTGCAACTGCTAACCAGGGTTTGTCCATCCTTGGAAACACAGGTTATTTCAAACAGTGGAGTCTAGGTCCCACCTGCTCCTGAAAGCCCAAAGCCACCAAGCTGTGACCAAAAGTATCCAGAGGTGCATTTGTGGGCTGCATGACCCAGTATGTCTTTCACATCTAGAAAAGAGAAGCGTTTTCTGTAGTTTAACAAGTTAGTGAAAGGTCAATCCAGAAAGTGTCTGGCAATAAAAGTACTCAGACACTTCTATTTCATCTCCTCTAGTGAGGATAGTGTAGCTCAGCTCATGGAAACTTACCTCAGGCTATAGCTCAGCCTACAAGGGCTCATTCCTGGCTCACTCTTGTTATTTGTGTACCACACTGCGCACCATCAGCCTAGGTGTTTTAGAAATACAAGTTCAAAAAGAGGTGTCTGCTCCTCTTTAGATGTGGGAGGGAAGAGCACATCCCACACTTCCCAGCATTCAAGCGATAGATGAAAAACTCTCCATCAGCCGTGCTTTACAGCTGAAATAAGCAGACCATCCATAGGGGAGGATAAACCATCTTGCTTTGAGATTTAACATCATGCAGAGACTAGAGGCAATACCTTCTAAAATGTGCTCTCTCCTTATACCCAGCGTGGTCCCATCCCCAAACACTAACAGAGCTGGTGGTGGTGACACTGTCATTTCAGTATAAGCATATACCAGTCACAGCATCTTTCCACCACATCTGCCATCTGCTACACAGTAACTCACATCAGAAAGAAACAATTACCTGGGAAAAGGGCAAAACAAGAGTGTTCTAACACAAAGCTAGCAATAGAGGCAGGCAGGAATTCCACAATGTTAGATCAACTGAACCTCTTACTCACTTCCTTTCCCCCACACTTTTACTCTTCCCTTCCTGCCCAGTAGTGCTGCTGGTTTTGAATGTGCTGGCACCTGAATCCAATGTAATTGATTACCTAAGCAAGATGAACAGCATCTGATTCCTCACCAGAACAGGCCCATGGCCTCCAAAGAGTTCCACATGCACAGACCACCTGTGAAATGCTGATCCTTTCACTAAATAATGCAGATTTCTTTCAAATTTGCCTTAACTTTTTAACTTTGATCCTTCTCTGTGAAGAAAGACACTGCATTCTGCACTCGGAATGCTGTTCACAGTTACCCGGAATGCTGACCACAGTTACTGTGGTCATTCCAGACACCAGCACATCCCAGTGGACAAACACATGGGAGTGAGCACAACTCGGAGCCCCGCTGACTCCCAACAAGATTGTTGCTGCCAGTGATGCTGCAGGGTCAGGCCAACAGCCTCCAGCAGATCAAATGTAATGGTTTCTGACTCCTTTCCAAGCCAGTGTTTGTTGGGAAACATCAAAGCCAGTGGAATAGTAGGTGTCCCAAAATGTCTTAATTCAGAGAATTAGTGTTAACTGAGTCTGATTAGCTCCATTTATCTCTAATTAATTACCTTTACCTAATTAGACACCCTGTTTCCAGTAGACATGGAGTCAAGTAGACTAGATTATTAGTGTAGTCATTGTGCCTTTACAAAATCCTGAAATTAATGAAACGTGCAAAAGAATCCACGGCTTTAATTGCACAGGTGTTGCCTTATGGCAAAGCTTTATCATCTGATTACACCAAGGGATTATTAGTGACTTTTTATATAGAGGATGAGCCTGTGAAATGTACCTTAGCAACAGCTCATTAGTTTAGGGTTGTTACTGTATTATTTATTACATCCAGCCTTCCCCATTATCTAGATTGATTCATGAACCTATATTTTCCTCCCCTCTGTGCAGGAAATAAATAAATAAGTGAAGGCTGGCTATTGCCACCCAGCTGCAATATGAGGGGAAAGCAGAGCCTATTCTCCAGCTACCAATATCCACCCTTTAAAATAAAGCTTTAAAGTTGATTTAAATAAAGCTGGTTTTTTCCCCCTCCCTCAGCAAGGTAATCAATTTAAGCTGTTGTCAAACTGGAATGCTTTCCACATGCCATCCAAAGAGTTTGGGCTATCTTAAATCTTTTCAGATAAATAAAAATACGTTATTGGGTTGACGAATGAAGTGCAATATATTTACATCTAAAATATTAGTTTTTTCCTTGCTATAACTCATCCTTTATGAAATCTATCAGAAATATTTTATTTTGATATTTCTTTTAACAGCTTGGTTCTTGGCTACTTCGGGTTTGGAGGGGTTTGCCAGAGAGAAGAACTGCCTGCACAATAGAACCAAGACAAACAAAGCCAAACAACAACCTCTGTGTTAAGAACCCCTTTCCCCACAGAGGAGCTCCTTGCAGCCACAGTGGAGAAAGCTTGACCTTACCTTTCTGTATCCTCCTCAGCAACATCCACCCCACTGGACTTGCTAAATATCACTGGTACAACGGCACCAGTGCTGCCCTAAGCAGAAGAGGCTTCACCGACCAACCAGCAATCCCTAAGCAGCCAGTAAACAAAATGATGAGGAATTCTTTCCCGAATGACCTAAAATACCACATTAATTTACTATTATGTTAGGAACAACTTCTTCCCCAAAGGGTGCTCAGACATTGGAATAGGCTGTCCAGGGCAGCGCTGGAGTCACCGTCCCTGGAAGTGTTCACACACCGTGTAGACGAGGCCCTCAGTGACGTGGTTTAGTGATGTCCTTGGCAGTGCTGGGAGAAAAGTTGGACTTGATGATCTTAAAGGTCTTTTCCAATCTGGTTGATTCTATGATTCTATGTAAAACCTTGCTGTCCACCTACTGCTAAATTTAAGAGAGTGAAACAATAATTGGTAACAGTTATTATGCATGGTATGACAACCAATTTGAGGAGCAATCGTGACTATGCAGTGACAAACATGACTATGGAACGTCTCGTGTCCACGTTACAGAAAATATGAATTTTAATCTCAAAATTATGGCTTTAACAGACTTAGCACCTAATGTTGCAGTGTTTCCCTGGCGTTTCATGTGGCACACTTATAAATGGTGTCATCCTGCAATAAAGGCACTAGGGCTGCTCTGCCCAATCGAGATGACTTCTACGGACAGAACCTAACTAAACAAAATTAATTGTTACGGGTTATTTGGGATTGCTGCTCTTCCAAGGCCTGCTTCCCCCCCACCCCCCAAACTCACAGGCCACTGTGGTTTCTATACGGGCAAAACCCTTAATCTCACTATAAGAGCCTCATATGGGACTTTTCATTAGAGTTATGACCCAGGAAAGCCCATCTTGAAGAGACTCCATTCCTTCCTGCCTCCCTGGTGCTGCCCAATAGGACATAAAGGATCTCTGTCCCTTGATCCCTGGGGACATCAATCTAGCTGCCCTCTCCAAGCAGACTGCTTTGGACCATAAAACACATCTGCATCTACCTGCTCACCCCCTGTGATATCCCATGGATCAGCAAATACCTGGAAAGTGCGAAGTGCAGGATTGACCCTTTTCTTTAAAACCCAGCAGCATAGGCAATCAGGGAGGAGCAACTCTCCCAGATCTTCCTTGAAGTTTTCTGCTGAATGTGGAAGGTGGAAACCTTCAAGGAAGATCTGGGAGACTCTCCTCAATCACCCAGGCTGCTGGGCAGCATGTTATCCAAGAGCTGGCAGGTAGGAAAGCCCAGGCATTAGAGAACAGGAGATCAAACATCACTGTGGACCTTTGGTAACACATTAGACAGCATTAGCGATAACACTGAGGAATGCTTCGAGCTCCCCTATCCTCTTATGTATGCTCTCAGCATCATAGGTGCTAACTAGTTGGACAAGGTATGGGGTCAAAGCCCACTCCCATGCTTGCAGCGTGCTGTGTCCATGTGCCTCAGAAATATTAACTGATTGTGGTAAAAATAAGTATTGTCAGTGAGATGCTTTAAAGTAGGATCCCCACTTGCATTTGCATCTTGATTCATGATCAGGTCAAACCTTTCTTCCCACACTCCCCTTTTGTTTCCCACTGAATACAGTCAAACTCATGAGCTCTGTCTGTGCCCCCAGTGTAGCCACGGAGCCCTGCCCAGTGTGTACCAGCGATGCTGGGAAAAGGTTGTTGTTCACGGCTCTGTTTCTCACACTGGTTTCAAGCACATCTGTACAGAAAACTTTCTTAGGAACAAGAAATTCCCATGGGATGAGGGGTTCACTCTCTATCTCACCATGTCCTCCTCAGAGAACTCTGACCTCACCTTCAGTAATGAACACAAGCAGCACAGGAGACAAGAATGAGATATATTAAATATTTATTTAAAGGACACAAACAAGTTTTCCAGTGGGAGGAAGAGAATTACATGGGAGAGCTGCTGGTCACATCTCTTAATAGGAGGCAGCCTAGCAACCTGTGGGAGAAGCAGGGCCCTGCCTTGCAAGGGATGGGGAGCACCAGGAGCACCTTAGGTGTCCCTACAAGAACCACTTCTGGAAAGCGAGGAAGGAGCCGAAGGCAGACCCCAAAGTAAACACTGGTGCTTCACCTCTGTGATCTATTTTCCATTTATAAGCCTCGAGTGCTTCCCAAAGGCAGGTATCACACACTACCCACCAGCTAGGAAATGGGAGCAAGGAGGGAAGGCCGCTCACTGAGGTCATCTCTTCATCCTCCAGCTCGCATCCTCTTCCAAAGGGCACATGCCTACCTTTCCCACAAGGTGCCATGTCAAGAGGGACTTCCTCTGCTGCTTTTCCCTTTGTCCCTCGGTGGCAGCCATGGAATGGATGCTGGTCTGTTTGATAAGCAAGGCCCTGGCATGCTCTTCCTGCTGCTGGCACCAATCTTTGAGGAACTGGCTGGCACCAGCTGTTGAAGTGAGCTCGGACAGGCTGCCTCCCATGCTACAAATGCCAACTATTTGGAGGAGCCAGACACAGAGCTGGCGGGTCTAATGGGAGAATGCATCCAAAGTCAGAGACTGGTGCCTCCTGCAGGAGTCAGGCACTGCTCAGGGGATGGACCAGCTCTTGGTGACCAACACAGCTTTAGAGCATTAAAGCAGACATTCAGGCACCGAGTGAGGATAGCGGGGTCAAGGACAGCAGGCACCATGGCACCAAGTAATGAAACCACCACATGTCCAAAGTGGATCCAGTAAAATGAGCTGGGGCAAAGGAGTGTCACAGCATTCCCTAAAGACAGAAATCAGAGTCCAGAGGCTCTCAGGCCTAGGCACCCTTTCAAGCCACAAGGTCCAGTCTAAGCTTCTGAACTTTTTCTTCTGAAAAAGGAAGAGGTCTGAGACAAATCTGCTCCCTCACCCATGCAGTCTTTGTTAAATCATCTGCACAAAATAGGCCCCATTTAGTATTTGTACGAGTTCTTGACAGAGGAGCTCCTGAATTTTTGTGCTTAGGAGCCTGAGCCTGCAGACCTCATGGTAGTGGCTGGAGCTACTGCCAGAGAAGCTGTAGCTGCCCTATCCCTGGCAGTGTTCAAGGCCAGGTTAGGTGGGGCTTGGAGCAACCTGCTCTAGTGGAAGGTATCCCTGCCCATGGCAGTGGGTTGGAACTGGATGAGCTTTAAGGTCCTTTCCAGCCCGAACCAGTCTGTGATTCTGTATACCAGGGTTTGGTGATCCTTCCAGCTGCTCCCTAGGGAGCCCTGCAATGTGCTGTCTGGGAGCTCACTGTCATGGTCCAGGTTGAACTGGAGCTTGGACTGTCTATACTTTGTTGCTAGCTTCAGATTAAAACATCTCTCCTGGTGAAACAACAGCATTAAGCTTGTTTAATGTCCACCCCCAGCTAGCAGCAGAGCTGGCCCTTCTCCTGG